GCAACGAAATGGAAGCTCTCTCTTCGAAAGGAAAAAGGAACATCAGGAAACAACAGGGGGGAAATGAAGGTGAAACCCACAGGGTTTTTCTGTTATTACTTAAGTGAACATTTTCTACTCCAAGCCTTTCCCAAATGTTTTCCTGCTTTACAGTATGAAATGTACTCTCAGCATTACTTCTGCCTTATTACTGTGAAGAAAGATACTTTGTGTTGTTTATCCATCATAAGATACTTCAATGTGTTTTTGAAAGATCCTCCCAAAAGCTGAGGATCAAATTTAGTTATAGCAAAGGATATTTTCTAATGTTTCTCTTACAATTCATATTGTCAGTATTACAGACTATACATTATTTATAAAAGGAAAATTTAAGGTAACATGCAAATACCCACAAAGATTCAGGTATACTCAGTGTCTTTATCATTTCAGGTGGCTTTTTTTTTTAAGATTTATTTATTTATACAGAACTGGGGTACAGGCCAGAGGTTTGGGGTGAGAGGATTTCACCAGAGAGAGTGGGGAGCAGAACAGGCCAACTGACAAAGTACACTGCTGAAGGAGAGGTCTGCTGGGCCATGTGGGTCACCTCCGGGGCGGGATCAAACTCATACAGAGGTGGCTTTAGCTTCTTCGTGTTGTGCTTTAACCCACTGCGACACCAGGGAGGGCCCCCAGGTGGCTCTTTTATTCCTCCCCCTTGTCCTCCAGCCTCTTTTCTCCATCTCTCCCCATTTTTCTTAACCCAGTATTTCTCTCTTTTTTCCTCCTTTGACATAATTTACTATTAGTTAATACCCCTTCCCTCTCTCCCACTCACACCATTCCAAATATTTTCTGGATTTTAATGTCATCATTTTATGAAATGATTGAAACTTTACTGTTCAAAACTATCAGATCTGTTCCAGTGGTTATCATTTTGCTTGCACTGTCATGCTGACATCCACCACCATGGATCCTGGTGGAAATGGTTCACATTCTGTGTTCACGTGCTGTGTCACAGGTGAGGTGCTGCGGTGGGCTGAATGTGAGTTGTCTTCATTTATGCATGGACAGTTTAATAAGACAAATGTTAAGTTCATTTCCATATTGTAATCGTACTTGAGGCAATAAATATAGCCGAGGCAATGAATGAAACTATGTCATCCCTTTCTAGGCCATGAGAATCACATCTATCCATCTATCCATCTATCACATCTACTACAATAATATAACAGAAGCAGTCATTGCCATCCACAGTGTTTAGTCCTATCTTACTACCACAGGCAAGGACTGCTGTGCTGGTTATGCATTTTCTTCTCTTCTCTTCTTCCCTTCCCCTCCTTGACCCCCTCCCTCCTTCCCTCCTTTTCTTCCTACTTATCAGATTTTTAATCCTCATTTGTCTTCATATAAAGCTGTTTAGAATAACACTGATATTTGGGTCATTCTATTCATTAAGGCTGTTCTCTTTAATATATACTTGTGCAGATTAATTCCTTTGGCTTAGCTAAAAAGGTTGGAATATAGTATAATTTGAAGTCTAAATAATAGTATACTTCAGTGGATAGACGTGATTCTCCTGGCCTAAAAAGGGATGAGGTAGTTTCATTCATTGCCTCAGCTATATTTATTGCCTTCGGTGTAATATATTCTAGGTGGCTCAATTTAGATGGCTCAAATTGAAATTTCAAATCCACTTGAAGTCTGTCAGCAGTGATGACAGAAGCAATTTTATAAACATTGTTGGTCACTCAATTTAAACAAATTAAAGTGTAGAAACTTTGTTTTAACAAAAACGCTGTGTATTTTTCTCTATAAAAAAATTCATCTTTTTTATGAAGTAATAATGAAGCTTTCACTGTCTTTAGAGCAACAATTTACGGTAGTGTATGACATTTAGAGATGTAGCATCACACAACAGATGTCTGTTACCACATCTACCACCAAAACACCCATAATCTTCCACCAAAGTATATTGGGCCCCTCAACCCCTTAACTTTGTCATTATGACTATCTTTATAAGTAGAAGCAAAATAGTCCCATTGTGCCGAATAATTTAGATACTTAGGTTAAGTTTCTGCTGGTATATACATAATGCTGTCATGAGTAGGTCCCTGATGTGGTCTTCTCAGCACTCATAAATATCTTGTTAGGATAAATTCCCAGAGATAGCCTTGCTAGGTGAAAAGACATGAATCTAAATTTTGGGATAGAAATTTACAGTATACTTTATTTAATGGCATACTCATGAATAATCAATTATTTCAGTTGGTACATGAGCAACCCCATGTTTTCATAGCCAAGAAATCCCACTGTCCTTCCTGTCAAGGTGCTTTGTAGAGATTTTATTTATTTGAAGATTGATACTGAAAGTCTGAATCCTCATAAATAATACATTCATAGAAGTAGAACAAGCCAATATATCTCATCAAAGCAAATTGACAGCAAGGGTAATGCATTCTTTTATCACATAATCCAGAGAAAATACTAGGAAGATAATAACTGGTGTTAATTTCTGAAAGTGTTTAAACATGCCAGTTAACTAGAAAACAAGGAAATATCTTGGTGAATATTGAAGACAGGCCAAGTATCTTCCATAGTCCTTTCCCCAGTCCTTGGGTGGCACTTGGATATTTTAATTCTTTAGAACGTGCTGGTGCAGCCTCCATTTTAACCTGAATGTTGGAAATACTGATTTCTTTTTTTTTATTCTTTAAGCTGCATCTCATTTTTAAGTACTTTATGTCAGAGAATCCTAATCATTTAATGAGTGAGAGATGCACCATAGTGAATAAAGATGACAGAAATATTGTTAAACCTGCTCCTTTTGGAAGATCTGAGATACAAGTCTAATCTACAGAATTTGTTCGTTTTGTTTTTTTTTTTTTTTAAGATTTATTTATGCTTACAGAACTGGGGAACAGGTCAAAGGTGTGAGGGGTGAGAGGATTCACAGAGACAGACAGAGTGGGGAGCAGAACAGGCAGGCAGACTGAAATACACTGTTGAGGGAAGCAGCGGGCGGGTCAGGAGAGGTCTTCTGAACCATGTGGGTCAGCTCCCTGCTCAGGGATCAAATTCGTACTGCAGTGGCTGCAATCACTTCATTGTGCTGTGCTTTTAACCCGTTATGCCACCAGGAAAGGCCTGAATTCGCTCGTTTTCTCAAAGCCCACAGGGTCATGTGGGGCACAGTCCTTTACATAGACTGTGTTAATTAACTGAATTTATCTAACAAGGCGGCATTGGCAGGACATTGCCCTTCTTGAAGAATGACACAAGGATGAGCTTCAGAGAACTCACTGTGACCCTCATTGATGGTTTGGAATCAGCATTTTTCTCTTCAAAGTCCTGCATATTAGAGTAGCATCAAAATTTAAATGATAGAAAACAGTATCAGTACTTACAAAGGATTTTGAGAATTAGATGAAAATGCTGATTTAGTACATAAAGAAGTTTTTATGAAGGGAATTCTGTTTAAAAAGCTGAGCAACTTCTGTAGAATAGCCCATGTCTATGTGACTAATCTCTCATTTTTGCTTTCAATTATAAGAAAATGTCTCCAAAGTTTAATTTCCCAAATTTAACCATGAAAATGAAAATGAAAATGGTATATCATGGGAATCGCCTCCATTAATATTTCAGTCTGGTTTCCTGACTCTATTTGAGATTTGCAGTTCTATCCTATGAATTGAGAGGTTTTCTCTATTTCCTTATTTTGTTTCTCTATATTTTTATTCCTATTAGCTCTGCTTTATCTCTGATCATCTTAATTGGATGAAGTAGCAAAAAAACATCATTTGCTAGCTCCTTTCTAGAAGTCTATAAGAGAAATTAAGCAACTTTTCCATCCTAATTGAATCTCTCTTCCCTCTGGCATCTGATTTTAATTTCCAAAGAATGACTGCATCTGGATACTGGTTTATCCAGTCACTGAAGTGGTGTCTGTGTTACTGTGTCTATGTGACAATGTCAGAACTGATGTGGTTAGAAAAAATGTGATCACGATTTTGTGTTTGACTTTTGCTGTTTTTTTTTTTTATCCAAAGCTTTCAGGATATAGGTTATAAAATGAAGTTGAGATTGATTTGTGAACATGGCAAACGGTCTGTTGAAAACAATATATAAAAGTTGGTATTTTTTTTTATTTGATGATTTTTTTCACTCCAGGAGTCTATTAAGTCTCTCATTTTTTTTTTCCTTCTGTGCACATTTTCTCAATGGCATTTTATCATGTGCTGCATCGTATGTGTGTGATCTTAGTCATAAGAAATGTCGATATTTTAATATCAAGTGTATGCCAGTTGAGTTTGTAAATCTACTAAAATTGATTGATATGTGGTAAAGATGAATGCTATTAGTTTTTTTTTTTTTTTTTAAGCCAGGAAAGCATATTTTGTTAGGATGGTTTGAAAAGCCAGATGTCGACAGACTTTACTGCATTATTGGAGAGTATACTGGGAAATTAACTGCCAAGCACGTGTATTTTTATGATGCATATTTCTTTCCTTTTGAAAGAAGCTTTCAAAAATCATATAAAATAATAGACTTGAGATAATTACCTCCACCTTTAAAGATATAAATATTTAGTAAAGGCTTTCCAAAAAGTCATGGGATAATGTCTCCAGAATACAAAAATAGTTTCCTGAGAAACTTCCCGCTGTTTAAACAGATCCTTAATTTTCCCCAGCCATCTGTAAAAATGGTGTTGTAATTTGTCTTTGAATTAACAAAATAATAGATTTAAGTGAATCTATAATGCTTTCCCTTAACCTTAATTCTTATTGCAGTTTTATATTCTAGTGTACTCATTTCTGAATTGGCAATTATTATGTGTTATAATAATTAAAATGAGTTATTTTCTTCCTTGACTATGCCATCTGTCAGAAGCAAAAACAAAGATAATAATGTCACAGAGCCACAAAAGATTCAGTATTGCTTAACGGGCCCTCGAAGGAGACAGTTACCTGGGGGAAAAAATGAAGACCACATTTTAAGAACTCTTTGTTACTTTATTCCAGATGGGGCACTCAAGGAGATTTCACCACTACCCACCCTCGGCCTGTGGTCAAAGTTAAACTCTTCACGGAGAGCACAGGAGTCCTGGCCCTGGAAGATAAAGAACTGGGCAGGGTGAGTAGGACCAAGCATGGCATCTGAGCTCGCAGGATTTTAGCTTCATTTGATTCAGAGTTAAGCTAGACTCATATGAGATGTGTGACCTTGCTGTTCATTAAGTACGTAAAATGTATTTATAATCTTCCATGGTCCAGCTTCTACCTTTAATTGACTTAAACACAGTCAATTCTGTGGCAATAACTGGGAGGTGCTGGCTGTGAAGTTCACACAGCACAGTCATGGACTCGGTCACTCTTCACTGTGCCACTGGCCAGGGAGTGTGAATGGCATAGGCCAATTGGTCCACCTCTGGCAAATGCCTACTGAGACGTCGTGAACATGTGTCATGGCATGTGATGTGCTGTGAAATTCATGTCTGGGGCAGGCTGGCTAAAATAACCCCAGTTAGATCACCTCCTGTGAATAGGAAAATTCACTTCCCATGATGATAAGTGGTTTTTATTTAACACATTCTTGTCCTTGGGTTAAAAGCCGTTGTACATATTGTGTCATCATGGATGTTTAGTAACACTGATTTCAGCACTGTATCCATTTCAGAAGCACAGCCTTGCATCTTGACAGATGTTTATACCAAATCTCCAGCTTTCATACCTAATATTCACTATGTTCCATTTAAAACTGAAAACATATACAATCATTCTCTCTATAAAATCTTCCAATGTCTCTTCATTTCTTTGACATAAAATTCAAGCTAGTGGAGCATCTGAGCGGTGCTTTTCAAGGTGCGACCGTGCATCTGCATTATCAGCATTACCTGAAAAATCTGTATATGAGTGTTTGTAATAGCTTTATTTGTGATTGTTGAAAATTGGAAGCAGTAAGATAATATTCAGTAGGGTTAAATAATTGTTTAATAAGCTTGGTGCATCCATGCAATGGGTACTATTCAGCAATAAGAAGAAATGAGCTATTAGTTCATGGAACAACATAAATGTGAATGCAAGTGAAATAAAGCAAACTCAGAAGTTTACATAGTATATGGTTTTTTTCTAGAAAAGTCATACCTATTGGACAAGTATTTGCTGGGGATTCACCAAAGAAGGGATAATGGTTTGATGTACAGGGAATTTTAAAGGTAGAAGAAGCACTTTTTTTTTTAATTTATTTATTTGTGCATACAGAACTGGGGTACAGGCCAGAGGTGCAGGGGCAGTGAGAGGATTCACCAGACAGAGTGGGGAGCAGAACAGGTAGATTGACAAAGTACACTGCTGAGGAGAGCAATGGGCGGGTCAGGAGGGGTCTGCTGCACCACGTGGATCATCTCCGGGGCTTGGTTCGAACTCATGCTGAAGTGACTTTAGCTTCTTAGTGCAGTGCTTTAACCTGCTGCGCCACCAGGGAGGGCCCAGGATACACTTTTTACTGTGTTGGATGCATAAAGTATATACTTGCCCAAACCTGTAGCATGGTACATCATGGAGAGTCTACTTTAATGTGCACACACACACACACACTCACACACACACTTCTCTGGGGTATAAAATAGACCCCAGCATTGAATGGAGACTGACTGCTACACTTTGCAGGTCATCTTAATGTTATCACAAATGTATGTCTTCATTGCACTGAAGGGGCAATGAGAAAAGTCATAGGCCTAAGCAAGCTAAGAGAGAAACAGTCACTTGCAAACACTGCCTTCCTCAGCTGATGGATATTCGCATGACCAGTAGCCTTTCTCACCTAGCATGATAGTATGAGTAGGGCACACCGCACTTCTGGATATTCATTCAGAGAACCCCAACATAAACCCAATTTAATTGTAAGATAAATATCAGACACAACCAGACTATGGCGCATGGTACAAGAGGTTTGACCAGTATTCAAGACTGGCAAGAAAGTGAAAACCAACATTTGTAGGACTACAGATGCCAAAGAGATAAGACAACTAGATTGGCTCTTGGATAAGAAAGAGAGTGTGGATGAAAAAACTGGTGGTGTCCAGAGTCTGGGGACAGTGTTGGGACATATACGTTATGGTTGACACTAATAGTGGGGAAAACTGATAGACATACAGGAACTTTCTCTATGACCTTTGCAACAAACCTAAAACTATTGTAAAATGTAAAGTTTCATTTTAAAAAGATTTATAACAGAGGCTTTTTCCAAAAGGCTTCAGGATGCATTTTCTAAGAAACAACCATTTTTCTCACATCATTTCAATTTCATTTCATACCTAGGAAATGTAATATTGATTCAGCATCCAATTTCCTAATTATCTCAACATGCCTATAAAAGCTGGGTTATCTCCATTATTTAAGTTGCTATCCAGGTCACATACTGTGTTTGATTATCATGACTCTTTAGACTCCTGACTCTCATACTATAAAATGCCACCCTCGACCCCCACCTTTTTCTTGGCATGGGGGTGAGCCTTTATATTACTGACATGTTTTTAAAGTTCAAGCTCATGCGGGTAGATTCAGAGTTCAGAGTGTTTTACTTAACACCACAGAATTCCCTCAAACTCACTTTTAGGGTGTGTTTTGTTTTGGATTTGTCTTTCTGCCTTTTCATGATTGGATCCAAGTAGACATTATTGAGGAAACATGAGGTGATGTGTTGTGTTTTGCATTGCATCATACAGGGGTTACCTAGTGGAAGACTTCACTGATACTTGGTGGTAGTAGTAAGACTCAATCCCATCGGTCTCTGTGTTCTGATTTCTGAGATGTTACCAGTTTCAGCTTTTAGTCTTACTACCCCAGATCTGTAGTGAGCACATGTTCCTTTCAGTGGTAATGGAGGTTAGAAACCAACACCCCGTGTATCCAGTGTATCCACTTATCATTAAGATGAACATAATTGGGCCTCCCTAGTGACCTAGGAGTTATGTCTCAGTGCTACCTTCAGTGGCCGAGTTTGATCCCCAACCAGGGAGGTGACCCACATGGTGCAGCAGACCTCTCCTGGCTCACCCACTGCTCCCCTCAGCAGTGTACCTCAGTCAGTCAGCTGTTTTGCTCTTACTCTGTCTCTGGTGAATCCTCCCCAACTTCCCTCCACCCATCTGGTCTACACCTTAGTTCCTCAATACAAAACAAACAAACAAACAAACAAAAACCATGCATTTACTGGTTCCCTAATAAATTTACTCATTTATGTCTTAAATACATGCAAAATTATTTCAGAAATAGCAGTATTGCTACCGACAACAAACTTACAAAGTAAGGTCAGCATTTCTTTTCAGTTCATTTTACCCTTAAACTGTATCCCAGAAAGGGTCTGATTACTGTGTTCAGAAGGAGTTCGGTACAATAGGAGATCTTATTTGTAAATACTAATAATGAAAATCACTGAGGAAACTACAGGTTCAGTCATCATGGGGATTTTTCTGACACATTTATCAGACAATAGTTTTCACCTAAGCAGCTCACTGGAGGGTTTATTTCACGAAGTTTGCAGCGCTGGCTAAGGTTTATGCCATTGACTCTTTAAGTGTGATCCAGTGGTGTTTCCTCTCTGGATCTCAGATCCCTTATCTGTAAACCCTCTGGTCATTCTAATTCTAATTCTCTCTCATTTTTTATTGGTTAACTGGTTGCTCTTCAAACAAAATCCCATTTAATCCTCTTCAGATTGTAGTAACATTCCAAATTCTAATAAGGAAGACAAGAATCTAAGAGTTTAAAACTGCTTAATAAATTCCAGAGGCAGGATTTGATTCAGGTTTTCTGACCCCATAGTTTATACCCTAAAACAATCACTACTACACCTGATAAAAGGAAATTTGAAAGTATTCCGTAACTCATGTCGTGGGGCAATTTAATTCCATGATTAAAGCAGGAAGTGAGCATGATTTAAGTGAAGCCATTTCATACATAGTCACTTAATACTTTTTTGGATCATTTTATATGCTGATTGACTCTTTTCTGACTGTCCTTTTATTTGTGTCAAACCTCAACTCTGTGTATATATAAGAACCACCTCTGGAGTGATTAGGCTTAGGTTCCAGACTCACACTTACGTCAATTTGGGGGTGACACAAGGAGGAGTATTTGAAACATTTCCTGAGAAATGCTAATGATCCATAGGCCTGGGAAGCACTACTACAAATATTACCACTGATCCTAATGTCTGGCGAGGAGTGAGAACTAGTAACTCATGAGGTAAAGATCAAGCTTATCTAGGCATTGGGCAGTTGAAGGTTATATTCACAGCAGGTGCTTGGCTTACAGATTTTGTTTGTGGATGGCAGGTGCAAATCCCTATTTATGGAAATGGAGGTGGCATATGGAGATTTTTCATCTGAATCGGTAGCCAAACCTCCACTAAGTGCAAAAGAAATACCTGGAGGCAGAACGGGGAATTTTCTCAGGAAGCTTTTATGGGTATGTCCCTGCAGGTAAATAGCTGGCCAGTCAGGCACCCAAAGGTTCACAGTTCACCAAAATTCACAACGATGTCTTTCTGCACCCTAAAAGCGAGGCTGTCCAGAGCATAGCCCTTTAAAAGTCTGAACAACTCAATGAGGTATCTATGTGCAATGCCATTTTCACTGAAAGTTTCTGGATGAATGTTTGTGCTCCTGGGCAACTAATTTGCCATCTGAGGTTCTTGAGTACAGAGCACATTTTGAGGCATTTACCCACATTATTTTTCACTTTTAGAAATGTTGCTCTGAAGGCATTATTTCTGGCAGAAAAATACAGTCTTGTCTGTTCGGGTACTCTGAGTTCATGGCCTTGTTTCTGGCATTACTATTCTATTGCAGGAAGCTCTTTTTTCTCCCTGTGGACTGAGGTGCATACAATGTGAAAATTTGTTTTCCTTTAGAGTAAGAGGAGCCAGTTCATACTTTGATTAACTGAATCATAACTTTATCAAATAATATTTCAAGACTCTAAAAGCCTTAAAATTTACGCACCTCCTGTATTCAAGGGTAGTCGTACTCTTAAAATTAAGGTCTTCATTTTATGTATTTTTCTTACTTTTTTTTTTTTTTTTTTACTTTTTGAATATCTGTACTAGATTCAATAGTTCCTAATATGGAG